GGTTGTTGGTAATGTTCTTGTCAGAGTCGAGAGGGACGTTGAAATCGACCTAGTGGGTAGGCAGTTTAATTAGCTAGTTGACTTATTTTAGATGCCGTTTTAGTATGTAGAACGCGGCTTTCTAGTCTTCCAGTAATTCTTGAACATAAAAAGTATGACTTGTACTCAATACAGTGAAACATAGGATTATATGATGGAGATTCAATGACAGGTAAAGAGAACTGTAAACATACTCTGATCAAAACCCTCTTGTCCTTGACGTCAACGTCGGTGATGGAAAGCTTGTTTGAAAGAGACATCTTCTTGTAGTAGTAGATTTAAAGTATTGAGTGATAGTTAGAAAAAGAAGATCCGGAATGAGCTTCTTATAGTTTTGATTGCAAAGGTGGTATTAATTTGGAAATTGGTTGAGAAGAAACAAAAGCTTTAAAACAAAAGGGACGTGAGTTGAGATTTGATGGAATGCCCCTCTATCATGGTGGGGTGGTTTTCTTGGATCCTCCCCTCGGCAGCTTGTCGGGAGTATCCGTGACCTTTTGATATCAGATTCCAAGGAATCTAAGCCGTCACTTCATTGCCTATTGATTATACTTGAACGTGAAATCCAGGGTGTGAAGCTTTCTGAGACGCGGACATATGCTTGGATGTTTGAATGATGAAGCATTTGCAATTTCTATGCAGCTGCCGTCTCTATATACCTACCCATGTTGTCAAACTTGTTTGCTCATAGGGTAGACAAGTGAAATATCACAAAGAGCAAATGCCAACCAATAGTTCCAGATTTCAGACAAAGTTATTATTGCTAATAAATTTGTACTTAAGTAGAATCAATACGATATGTATATCTGTGGTCTATAAAGAAATCGTGATATTCGCCTCCAAAAATCCAGGCGCCAAACACCATTTGAATGTCCCAACCAGATATGAAAATGAAAATCGTAGATATATTGTCCAGTGTGACCTATTCAGACCAAAATCCATAGACCTAGAACTCCATCCCTTGCCAATGCCGCTGATTCCGAGTTGTCCGTCGTGCCTTCCTTTTCGCATACTCGGGTCTAGAGTTACAATAATCTGATGTTTGGTGATACCGGGGCTGATCGAACTTCCAAAGCATCTTCAGCTGCATTCGATAAGGAGAGATAAGCTGTCCATGCAATACCAACAGTCGAAACGAATGGCTATTAAAATCGTTAACATTAAGTACTAGGAGGAAAGATTTTGCTTGGAGAAAGAACCTACCAATTGGAATTGAATTGGCATAAGACGGAAGTTGATGATTTGTACCAAAGGCCAAACCATAAAGTTAGCCTTTAGTGTTGGAAGATACATATCTCTTAGCTTTTGAGCAACCGCTCTCTTGCCGCCACCTTCTGCAACGGTCATAACGATAAAGAAATTGGCGATGCCTGCGAAAAGTTAGTTATCAATAATAAGCTTTTGATGATATCGATGGACTTTTCATACCGACTGGTGCGAAGACTAATTGATCCATCGCAACCATCTTCATTGCGGGACCAAAAGCACTCGATTTTGTGATTGGAAATGCTTTTGATAGGAACTGGAACCATTTAAACTGTATAGGCGCCATCGCGAATCCATACGCCATAAATCGAGTCAAGCGCTCGAAATCAAAAGGTGGTGGCAGAATCTTGGAATCAGGAATAAGATCACGATCGTTGAACGGATTTTTCCTGTCGAGTTCGTGGATTTCTATCGCCAATGAATCATCCTTCCTTAAACCTCCTTGTTTTCGCACAGCGGATTGTCTGATTGCTGTTATAGATTGTGCCACTGTATCAGCTATGCCACCCAGTACTGCGTTTGTCACCATCATGGTGAGTACTGGACGGGCAGCATAGTAACTATTGAATTTTGCGGTAAGTCTCCCGACCATTATGAGTTCGATGAAGAAGATAATTGTGTGAATGAGAGGCTGTGATTGCGGATTTGTGTTAGCATCTGAAAGCTGGAAATTGGTTCGGGCCTAAAATCACTAGGCAATCCAGCCCAGAAGTAGAGACGGGATCAAATGGAAGGTGCGCGAAACTCACCACTCTGCCGTAAATGTATTTGCTGTTTGCTGTCCGCATAAAGCGCCGCCGTTGGATCTCGAACGGTAGAGGCATGGTTTGGGGAGGGCGGCGAGTATGTAACAGAAATAAATGGGTTGTGAATTGGACGGTGGGTTCCTTGGGAATTATGACGACAGAGACAAAGACAAGATCGATGATCTTTTAGTTTCCGATAGGACTACTCGTACCACGAATTATATGCCTGGATATTGTTCGCTCTCGTATGATTCTCTCCAACCAACCAAAATATGATAATGATTTAGCAAACAAATAGATGGCTCTGAAATGCGACAATTTGGAATAAGAATACTTGAAAATGGATTTATGGAGGAAGGACTGAGGTGAAAGAGGGGAGGAACGAATTGTTGCCTTTCCCCGAAACCATTGAGCCACTCCTTCATCGGCAATAATGTTAGTTTCAGTTACGAAATCATTCGCTAGTATTCAATAAATTCATGCGTTGATCTTTTTCAAGACTTGATGTCAAATAGATTGCAATGAGTACAGATTCACTTAACGCGTAGCTTGAAGAATATGCCACTATTGCATTATTCCATTAGCCTTCGAATTCATACCTATGCTTTATGACAGAATGAAAGCGTTTCGACAGTTTCTGTTACCTAGGTATGGTGGGTAGGTATCCAAGATTAGTTATAATAGAAATCTTCGAGAACGATGGATTGTAAGATATGTAGAAATCATCGCAACCCAACATTTTCGTTTAGGTAAGGTCGGTCCCCGCATTTTGTCGCGCGGAGTAGATTAGAATGCGGTGTTTCCTCGCGAAGATTGTTCAGGGCTTTGAGTTTTCTAATGATATTTTGGGCATCGAAGATTACAATAAGAATCTCTCCTTCCTACATTCTCGGGTAGACGCTATGAATCTTGCCTTGAGCTACATCGGTGAAGCTTTCCGGATGCTCTAGTGAGCTGGACCTCTGAGCGTAGGTAGCTTTGGGATGTTCATTCCAGTCAGTACTAGAGCACGTCCTGAATTATTGAAGTCTTTTATTGTAAGAATTCACGCATATATTGGAAAAATCGGATGCTAATAACGGTATCTGTTATATCAACCTAATAGCGTTCTCAATCTTATATTCCGCTTCTTATTATCTTCCAACCATGAGCAACCTCAGCCAATATTATGCGCAAACTCAGCAAATCGTCTCCAAAGCAAATTCAACCTGTTTCAACCCAATCTATATTTGCCACCTAACGTCTCAAACGTCACAGACATTCTTAAAAAAAAACAGGAGCGTCACCCCTTCACCGCGTTCTAACACTTAAATTGCGCGTAACAATCATAAGTACCATCTCCCTCAATTGCACACCACCAACCTGGATTTCCACCATCCGTACCACCAACTCCATAATGGCCGCCTGCATAATCGAAACTTGGAGATGCTGTAGGACTATTTCCTGTCATCACTACTCCATAAGGCAATTGCGAAGCCAAAAAGAATGTCTTATACAAAGGAATGTTAGTTGTTCCACCGATAACATTGCAGGATGGGTTGAAGATCCAGGCATCTTGAACGAGGGGTCTAGTGGGGAAGTTAGACTTAGTGGCAAGCTGACAAATTCCGGGCGATTGCATGTTGCAGACAGGTGGGTTTGGTGGGCCGGGAGAAGATGGTGGAGAGGTGGGAGCGGAGGTACTGATTGAGGTTGTAGAAGGGGTTGTGGACACTGGAGGTGGCTTGGAAGTGGTGGAAGGTTGCTTGGAAGTGGTGGAGGGTGGTAGAGAAGAGCTCGGGACCGAAGAGGGGGTGCAAGGAGATTGTCGACGATTGTGGCGGCGCGCTTCAACTACATTATCGCTTGAGAGGAAGAGCAAGACGCCGAAAATGGCGATAAAGTACTTCAAGTGCTGCATCTTTCTGTCTACGTTCAGCATATTTCTTTCGTCATATAGGTTTACTCTCACTATACCTACTGTTATTGTATTCTTCTGAGAGTTCAGAGGTCTAACTGTATGTTGGTTGCTGAGTTTTGCTTCTCGTACTGCTCTATCGAATGTTTCAAGTGCCGTGGATTTTGAAAAGACAGTCGAAGATCAATTGTAACGAAAAGCTTCTTGTCTTAATTATTCAAATTGTTTTGTTGACTCTTGCAATTACCATAAGGCCTCAAAGAGAGTTATGGATTCGTTCGAATGGAAGTTCCTTGTATTTCGTCCGAAAGTACTTCGTTGAAAGTTGCAAATACCGCGAGACTTAAATTTTCAACGGACGGAAGTGAATGTCGAAGAGAGGAAAAGAATTCAATTATAGTTGGAAAAGGTAATGATTATCGTCCGGTATGTCAAAAAATAAATTCAATCTGGTTGTAGAGTTTATAGGTAAAAAAGTGTTCATTCTAGACATTTTCCCTGAACAAATGCTCATGTCCCATGTCATCGTCTTATGACCCCGCGCTAGTGCCCCCAAGCTTCATTGAGATCATTACTGAACTCTATTGAATCATTCTTCGTCCGAATTCGGTAATGTCTTCATTTTGGGAAGGAATTCTCGGTGTTATTGCATAATGGTATGTTTTAATATATCGTGGAATGTTGCAAAAAGTTTTGTATAGAGCGGAATGATTTACGCAATTGTGTTCATGTGGTTTTTTTTTAAACTTTGGAGTTTCTGCCATTCTTTTTCCTTTGTGTCTCAGCACCTACATCGGGTATTGTATCGCAATATTCACATGACCAAGAATGAGAATCAAAAGCTAACAGAAGTAAATTTGGGTGACCAGCGTTTTGGTACACCTAAGAAAGAAGAAGTTTAACAATTGACGGTCATTCAAAGCTTTGTGAACACCATATAACATAACCCAGCCCCTCTTCATACACGCATCGCTCTTGATCACTACATCCACATGTCCTCTGAGAAACCGGTAATGACACGCGGTGCATACATATCGAAACTCTTGGGGATCTCAGCCATCTTTACTTGATTTGTTGAACCCTTGTCGTCGATTCGAAGACGCGTTCTGTACTGCTTGCAGCTCAACATTGATTGTTGGAGTATCCGAGGTACCATCACAATCCGTGGTACCCAATAACATTGCAGCCACCGTCCCAGCAGCTTGTACAGTTTGCAAAATATCGTTCGAGTCGATCGAATTGGCGGGTGAGGGCTCAGGAGTTTCGTCGGACTTGACTTCGACTGTGGGTGTTTGTGAAGCAGTTAGTAAAGCACATTATAGAGGGATTTGAGGTACTTGCAATCATCTGTTCTAAGCGGTTGTCGATATTTTCTCCAGATATACGTGAGACTCACGAAGACCATGGTGATTCTATACACTACAGTTGCGATGACATCCGGGCTCCAAGTAGCCTGAATAGGTAAGGGTGGCATGTTGTGGAAGGAAAGGGTCTCTGGTCGGTTGGGGAAAATGGTATTTCGCTGCTATTGATGTATTCAACAGGTCTGGTGAAGGATTTGCTCTTTTCGAAGCTACGGACAATAACGATTGTGTGGCGAATAGCAGAGGTAGGTAATGGAGTCTTTCTATCTCGAGGTGTCTATCAAGAGAGATGTGTGAAAGTGAAGGGGTTGGAACCAGATCTTGCAGATTTGCCAGTGAGAGTTGTATAGAAATTATGTCTTGTGGATGCTATTCGAAAGGTAAGAAGGAAAGAGGATTTCGTCTGCAGTATATATGCACCAAGATCCTCGACTTAGTCGAAGCATGGATATTGGCAAATCGAGGATACCACTGCATCGCCATGCCTTTTGAGCAGAGGCATAAAATCCATTGACATTCGTATGTTGACAGAGTAAAAATACTGACTGATGCGTCGCCATTTACGCCAACCGGAGCCACTGCCTGTTCATATTTGGGCGGAAGAATGATAACTTGCGTCGCCATGTATTTTGAGCAGAATCAGAAGTCATTTAAAGCAGGGTTCATATGGACTGAACGCAATTCATTGCAATAATTAAAGGCGATGTCAATTTTAGTATGTTAGGTCAGTCGATAATCAATCCACTTGTGCTAGAAAGGCGACGCTTTTTAAAATTGCGAGTCAAAAGAGACATAAAACTGTAGCGAAATTCTAGATAACGACGTGCGGGGGATCTGGGTTTAGGTTTGGCTGGAACTCTGCGACACGAGATGAAGGTTTGGCCTGGCGATGCATTTTACAATTTAAATACAAAGGTCGGAAAGTTGTCAATCAATGATTCGCTATCTGCTCGTAGCGCAGGGTGAGAAAGGAAAATAAAGTCGAGGTAGAAAAAGGCGATGTTCGGCTGGTGATATTTTAGATTCAGGAACCGGTCGGTACAAACACGAGGGCTGGCGATGCAATTCGAAGGGCCCGCCGTCATTCCAAACATGTCTACCGTCCGTTATCCACGCAGTACACGTAAAAACAGGAACGACGAAACCTTTCAAACACTACCATACCAGCATACCTAAATTCGTCATTGTTACGGAGCCACAACACCATCGTACTTTTCCTCCTGAATCATCGTTGAGTAATCCGGATTTACACATTTCAAATTCGAATTTTACCTGGGTCCCTATCCCAACGCCGTCTTTTTGATTCTAAAATGTGAAGACATTCTTGATAGATTTAATTTTACTCTAAAAACAAAGCAGTATTCCCTGAGGATGTTGGTCCGGTAATGTGACAAGAACTTTCGAACATTCACGATACCAAATCTATGCATCATCTAGAAATTAATGTATTAATGAGGAGTAAGGTAGCCGGGCACCCACAAAGGCGATATACTAATCATCAAATATAAGATGCTGCATCACCTAGTCCCTTGAAAATTGAATGGTGGTCAGGATATATGGCGAGGCACTTTGAAATTCTGAGAGAGATGCATTCAGTCAGGTCTTACCTCTCTCATCATTCGCCGTATACGTATCTTATTAGAATCTTCACAACGCAAAAACTCGAATCTCCTCCTACATACGGCGTGTGACCCGGGTAGGTAAAGAGCCAATGAACTCTTCAGCCTGTTTAGTGTGCATCGCCTTTTCAATTGTTTCAATTGCTTCGGGCGAATGTGGAGAGGGCAAGTTCTCTGGATCCTGGCGATGCAAATGTTGCATGGATTACAAGTAAGCGCCCATCAAAGACCACAAACTACAGCTGAATGTACCATGCATCATGCAACATCATACATAACACAGCCCATTCGAGCATTCAAGGCAAAAAGCGCATCATGGTTCCTGTGTTCTGTGTCCAGACTGGTCCTGACGGGCCGCCATAATGCGATGCATTTCAAAAAGTCAAGACGATGCATATGTAGGAAACTAGGTCTCAATTGATAAAAACAAAGCAATGCTCCAAGAAATTTGAAGTCGATTTCGAATCAGCCAACTGAACATCATGAACGAAGATAACACCAAGAATCACCAGAGAAGTATTCTCGAACAAGCTCCTGCAACACAGCTCCTGTTAGAACGTTACAGATGCTACACAACGCAAGAATTACTTGAGTCTCTGGATCTAAAACTGGCATTATTGGAGACAATGAATAGTTTGAATGTTCTGATGATTTGGAGGGACGATTTCAATGCCAACATCAATATTTTAAACGAAAAGGCGATCGCTGCTTTCCATGAAAAATACAGCTCCCTCCAATCAGTGGCTAACTCGCCGTCAATACATTCACAGAATCTCAATCAGTCTCGGAGATCCAAGAAAGCGTCAGGTCTACGGATATCTGAGATCATAGATCTGACTCTTGATTCCAATGAAGGCCGCGTAGACATTGGCGTGGGAAATTCCAGTGAAAAGGCCAGCAACTCGGCTGACTATTCCATACTTCATGAAGTTGCGCAAAGCACAATTATCACCGCACCACCACAAAACATTCAGAGTTCTGATCACTCATCGATCAATCAATATATAGGCGAGAAGCCCGTACTTTATGGAAGCGGATCAACAGGCCCAGAGCTTGCCATTCAGTATGCTGAAACCCAAATGCAAACCGCAAACTCAACGCTCAAGGCTCCATTTGATACTCAGCCTTTATGTTCCGCACCTCAAGAGATCTCGCTTCAAACAACATCTGGCTCTGAGACGGTGCCTAGCTTCACGAAAGCCAGAAATAAAGGCGATTCCCACCGGTGCAATGTTTGTTCCAAGACATTCACAAGGGGGACTACACTCCGTGACCACACAAGGAGTCATACAAATGAGAAGCCTTATAAGTGCAGTACCTGCAGAAAGGGTTTCCCAAGACACAAAGACTGTCGCCGCCACGAGCGCCTGCATGAAAATGCTAAGGAATTTCAATGTGGTGGTCAACTTGGAGATGAGCGTTATGGATGTGGCTGGCGCTTCACAAGAATGGATGCGCTCAAAGCACATTGGAATTCACTGAGAGGCTCTGGATGCTTGAAGCCAATATTTGAGCAAGTAAAAGAAGATATTTTCTATGCCAAAGATCTGATATGTGATTGCGGCAGTAGATTTGAAAGTGCAGATGCTTTTAGCACACACCTTCATGTTCCTTTGCAGTCAAATTGCTTGAGACTTGTAATCACGGGTCTAGCGAAAATCTTTGCATTGGAGGATTATGATGACCGGCAAAGAACGAAGTAAGTCGCCAGGATCGAGATTTCGCATTGCAAAGATATGGATGAGAGACTTACCACATCGGAGCATAGTGTTTGGGAATACGTTGAAGTTAATTGGGCATTGGAGGTTCGGGTTTATACTACATTTTAAATTTGGATTGAGGGCAGGCTCTGGTAGGAGAAGTGTTGTTTAATCGGAAGCTCTCATGTATCGAGAATGAGTGAAATTATCAGCAGGATTTTGATTGTAGTAGGGGTTCCATAAATTTTCAGGGGGTTTCACATGTAGAAATACATTATCATTTCATTGATGAAGTTTGATTTGGACATTGAAACATGATATCAATGAAATGAACATTGAGAATTGAATAATCAATCACATTCAACATGCATAGATGTGCTAATCGAAAGTGTGTACAAATATAGATGCCTTGTCCTGACATCACCATATAATTGTCTTGCTTCCCCATCATCTCTCTCATCCTCCTGTCCGCTGGCCATTTACACAATTCCCCTAGACGAATCTGACTCTATCGGTACGACTGTCTAATGTTTGAATCTACCACCATCAACCAGAGCAACCTTTCCTCAGCTCTTCTTTGCTTCGCTTGGCTCACCTCCACTGATAGACCAGTCCTAGATTACAGGACCCTTTTACTTTAGCATCTTTTGAAGATATTCGAGAGTAGCAAGAGATCGTGCCCCTCTCCCAACCGACTTCTCATAAATTTGCTTCAGCTTATCTACCGACGTGATTCTAGCCTGCGGGATCTTAAACCCGTAGTTCGTAACAGAATGTCCTGGGTTCTCTACACATCTGATGATCTCGTCGATACAAAAATCACGACTCTCAAGCTTCTTCTTTTGTTGCAAGGTAGCGTGCTGCTCAATCATGGTTTCTGCTAGTAAGTGCGGCAACTGCCTTACTGTTGATGCCATTGTGGTGTGCTTCTGGCTACAAATACACGGTTCATCCCGTGCAATCCATAAAGTGCTGATCTCTCGAAGCGATGATGTTATCCAACGGAGACCTCGATTGTTCCTGCGAGGGCCATTGTGCACTTTCATACACACTATAGCAGATTTGATAGAATCCAAATCATTTTTAACACCCCTGTTGAAATTTCGTGTGCGTGAGCGGAGCATTGTTAGAGCGTTCAGGTTGTTGAAATAAAATGTATCCGGAGCACGACGATGGTCTATAGCCATGTAGATAGGTGCGCCGCCTATTTCGCGGCCAAATACTGGGCGGTAGTATTTCAATCCTACTTCTCTAGCATCTCCGCAGGTGTGGAGAAGGCTTGGAATTTGATAATGGGCCACGAGTGATGTGATTTCAGTGTCGGCGGAAACGCTATTTCTGTGAATGTATGCGGGACCTCGATGGTACTGATTGACTTGCGATTGTTCATTGATGGGGTGGACTTTGGTATCTATCGTAATAATTTTCGCATCAATGTCTGCAGCGGCCATCTTCCATATTTCAAGCTGAAGCTCCTTGGGAAGCCATCGAAACATGTAAAAACGATCTGTGGGAGTTTTACGTCGCTGCCGGGCCTGCTTTGGAGTCAGTAGTCTGCACAAAATGATTTCCGATGTTCAATACACAAGCAAAAGAGAGAAGCTATTGATGGATCGCACTCCATACTCAAACACCTTATATCCTCCCAGCTTCAAAGATCTCATGTTGGAGTGCGATTTGTTCTGACCACCATCACATAGTAGGAAAATACATACCTTAGAGTTGATAGGTTCTTGAACAGCATTACCTGAGTCCTCGGAGGTGGCAGGTATAGCATAGTGATGCAAATTCAGACAAACGCGCTTCTTTGGGGGTAAACAATTCATTCTGTCTCTCTGAGATGCGAGAAATGATAGGGTCAAAAAACGGGAGAAGTGAGATGGATTTGAAAATGATTTTGCGAAGCTCGAGTGTCATTTAAGAATATGAAATTGTAGCTATACAAGCCCCTCAACTTAAGGTTTACAGTGTTGTATTGATAGTGAGTTGATACATCTTTGGTCCAAATTTCTTTCAGAAATTGAGGTGCAATAGATTGTACGGCCGAAAAGTGAATATTTCCTCATCTATTCTAGCGACAGTATACCGTTAGAAGCAACTACTGGCAACCACAACCACAGCCTCGACAGCTTTGTTAGGCCATTTTTAATACAATTCGGTTGACTTCGATCAATTGGATCCCCTCAAGCATCAAGTGTATACAATACAACTGGACATATTGCAGAGATCAGACAATGACAGCCCAAACAGTGACAATATGATCAGCAGTTATTATGCAAAAGTCGAGATGATTCCTTTGCGTCATTGCTACTGTTTACAATATGCAGAGAGAAACGCGGAAGTTTTCGCACTCAGAGTTTCAGTCACTTTGAAGTTTTTCAACATGATCTTTTGCTTTTGAGGTCCTTGAAGAAGTTCTCACTAGAAGTTCCGATGGAACCTGACATCGTCTCTTTATGTTTGATGGCATTTCTTTTCTTGGTGCCAGATAAGCTTGTCTCTTGAGGTTGCGTTGCACTTGCTATTGCTGAGAGTTCGAGAAGGCCCAGTTGAGTTGATTCCGAGAGAAGGCCCAAATATATGAGTAGGGATAGGAGAAAGGGGACTAATGTTTGATTGAGCAAGCAGCAAAAGCTTCATAACAGAGGAATACATTTGCCACTAGATGATCGAGGTAATTGTGGATGATGAGGCCAACTTCTCAACTCAAAAAGACGTGCGCCGAACTCTATTTCATTCGGGGAGAAGTTGCTTCGAGTGAACAATCCCATCGCGTACCATGAGACGTTTGATGACGTTGAATTTGAGTTGCGAGTTGGCTCGTAGTTCACGCCCAGATTTAAGACAAGCTTCCTTGGCGCCAATACTCATCGTACCAAGACTAAACAAGTCTGATTCGATTGTCTGGGCAGATGCAAAGTTCTGAATGTACCCGCATCATTCAAGTGGATGGAGAATGACTAGAGAGCGTTCGGTGGGAGAGGATTATTCGGACCTATCCCTCCCCCTTTCCACTTACCTCGGTCGTTTAAAATTGGGAGGAATATGTTATCCGGGTCGATACTACGCGCCACTTGAGAGTACTCAGGTATATATATATAGTACATAACTACTGTAGCAACTCGTATTAGCGAGATTGGTTAGAACACCTTATCTAAATTAGAAACGAGTCCGATCGTATCTCTCTCTCTCTCTCTTCGCGTATTTTACATATCATTTCATAGATGTTGACAATAAACCTTATGATAAACTGCTCGAACCCCGTGATCCCCCGCGCCACTTCTCTACCTTATCAAGTCGCACGGGTCACATCAATCCTTGCACGCCAGCCCTTTGGTCACTGCATTGACAAAACACGATACGATCTCGTTTCCTTTATCAGAAGTCAGGACATGTCAAGTTGTCAAGTTGCCAACCAGTGTTTCGTTACACTAGAACGTTTCCTCTTTTCCTCATCACAACATGAGCCGTTACTCCGGCCATCCGCATGATCCTTTTCGTGGCTCTACTCTCCAACTATTGCATTGTACTCCAAATGCCACTCATACCAGTGTCTTATCTGCTTCCCTCCATTTTCGAACCCAATAGCAAACAATATGTGGTGGTCTTTTAAGGTTCTCACGATTTCCATATCAGAAAATTGGATGTGGCTTACCTTTCGTATCACCACTATCTCCCGAACCCTGCCCTAAGGTTTGAATCTGGATCCATTTCCGTCCAACAAGATTGGATATATTCCATTAGTAGTATGGTGGTCCTTCCAGAACGTGGTATACGGCGTGCGCCGATGGATTCATTCCAAGTATCCAATAATTACCCCAACTTAAAGATACTCTTTCTTTTTTGTTCCTTGTGAGCTTTACCTTTACCATACTCTTGCTATCCTGTGCCTCCCTCGGCCAATTGCAAGTATGGGAATCGGAGCACCCGCGATATTTCCCCATCCGTACCTTGCTCCACTAACCACAAAATACCTTCCTGATAAAGATTTGCCAAGAAGGAACCAACCAGGACGCTTATCTACACGAGCCAGTGAAGATCACCAAACACTTGCGAAAAAGCTCCCATCTTCGTGAGTTCTTATCAGGCTTCCTACGTACAGCTCACCTATTGTTTTCCGTTCAATTGATTCGTCCCAAGATATGGGAGGCACCCCTCATGAGTTAAATTAATTTTCTAGAATGTCAAGCCTTGGCTTTCCGTTGCATACATATGTAACTAGGTCGTGTCCCCCCTCTGATTGTCCTACCCGTCTCAGAAAGTTTTCATCTTTTTCATTCTGCTTCCCTAAATTTACAACCTTGGAGCAATGTCGGACTTCGTCCATGGTGATCAGGCTGATCTGAAACATGCTCACCATGTTAAACATTCCCATGATCTGGAGAACGGCCGCCTCGAAAAAGACCTTGATCCTGCTGTGATCGCGGCTGGCAGTCATAAATCCGAGGGCGACTCTGAGGAGATAGTCTTGGCTAGACAACTTCGAGAGAAAAAAGGCTTCCTGCGTAGTCTGCGACGTGGTGAAGAATGGCTCGACGAAAAGCTGGGAATCGAAACGCAAGGTATTGATAGGATACACGAAGAAGACAAGCAACCTCCGTCAATCCTCAACGTCTTCTTTCTCTGGTGGTCTCTCACAATGCATGTTGGTACCATACCAATTGGCCTTCTTGGCACGGATCCCGAAGTCTATGGTCTCTCCCTCAGCCAAGCAGTTGGCGCCATTATTGTTTCAACTATTTTGGGAGCCGCTTGCACTGCATATACTGGTACTCTCGGTCCAAAGGTAAGTGTTCTGGACGCGCACTCCGTATTTTTTGAATACTGCTAACGAGTTTTAAGCTTGGTCTCCGTGCAATTGCATGCTCTCGATATTCCTTCGGTTTCTACGGTGCAAAACTCTGCTCAGTTCTCAATGTTGTCATCGGTGGAGGTTTTGCCGTGGTCAATATTGTGGTGGTGGGTCAGATTTTGGCTGCCGTCTCCGATTACACCATGACAATCGTGGTGGGAATTATCATCATCGCAGTCATCAGTTATATTGTATCAATTTTCGGGTTCAGAATCATTCATACATGGGAGAAATACTCTTGGATCATGACATTCATTATCATGTGTGTCTTGATTGGCCAGGTCGCTCCCAAGATGGAGCCAAGTCTCCCATCCGAGGTTTCTGGCCTTAGTTTCTCAGGCTCTTGGCTTAGCTTCTTCGCTGTATGCTTTTCTTCCGCCTCGGGATGGTGCTCAATTGCTTCAGATTACTACTGCAACTACCCTGCCAATACCAAGGGCTGGAAAATCTTCTTCCTTACCATCTTGGGAATTTCCCTTCCAACGATCTTTGCAACTATTATCGGTGCATGTCTGGGAAACGCGGCACTGGCTTCATCAAAAAATCCAACCTGGGCAACAGCATATGAAGACCATGGACTTGGTGGTCTTCTTCTAGAGTCTTTCCACCCGTTCCGATTTTCCAAGTTCTGCCTTGTCCTATTGGTTTTCTCAGTCATCGGTAACAACGTCGCTGTGAACTACTCTAGTGGTCTTGGTCTTCAATTGCTTGGTCATTATTTTCATGCAATCCCAAGATTTATCTGGTCGTTTGTCAATGCTCTTGTAATTGCTGTTCTCGCAATTGCTGGTAGAGCACACTTATCCAGTATCGTCAGCGACTTTGTCTCTCTACTTGGATATTGGACGGTTTCTTTCACATTTATTCTCTTAATAGAAGATAAATGGTTCCGTCGTACAGAAGGTTACGATCTGAACTCTTGGGATAGACCCGCCAAACTACCATGGGGCTTGGCTGCTGTTATGGCTCTTTTGGCTGGTTATCTGGGTGGTGGTCTGCCTGGCATGGCTCAGGTTTGGTATGTCGGTAAGTAACAATCACTACTTTCTTCCAGTACATTCAACATACTAACACTACAATTAGGCCCAATTGCAGCTAAATTTGGACCCTATGGAGGTGATGTTGGAATCTTCTTAAGTGGTGTCTTTACTATCGTGACGTATCCTCCACTTCGATGGTACGAGCGTAAGATCACTGGTAGGTAGACCAAGAGTTGAATACCTGTTAGTTACCTAAATAAAATCAATTCTCTTTCCTATTTGAATAATTCATCAATAAAATATATATACATATTTATTCTTGGCAATATGAAGTGATCACCTACTTCCAAAAAAACAGAACAAATTCCATCCTACCTAGAGTCTTGAAGTCTTGGCTAGATGAACCTATCTCGAGCCTATGTACCGGTTAAGTAGAGAACATTTATCGCTGAAATTCTTGGTACCCCTCATATCACTCAACGGCAAAACACCCCTCCTTTCCAACGCAGAATTTTCATAACACATTATAACTCAACATAACACAACACATACATGCCTATCATTTAAGAAACCTTCCATTCCGCTTCAACCTCTTCCATGCAGTATTCCACTAACCCATGCCATCCCCGTAACACCAAGCTTCAATCCACCTTCCTGCATCCTCCCGCCATCACGCAGTTCATTTTCCCCACCGGATCAACAAAATTGTGGAATCTAGCGTCGCACGCTGCAGTTTCAATCCACCAAGCATAGGCAATCCAATTGTAAAAGGAAGGTCACATGGCGTGGAGTTCTCGTGCTGCGGCCCTGCTCGGCTTCGTGCATACGGGTTTGTCATTTTTCATTTGTCACGTTGTGGTGCATGAAACTGTTGGGAACTGGGTATGTTAATGAATGTTTAAATACGCATGTGCGCATGTATGTATATATGTAGGGAGATTAAAGGGAATGGGCTCTAGAGATGGTTTGTAGGAGGTCGGTGGTACATGCAGAGTTGTTCTTCCGACGTGCCGAGATTGACCGAGGAGGGGGTGAAAAAGGGAGAGGCATCTAATGCACGAAGCAATGAATTTGGGTCAGTCAAATGGATTGAAAGAATGGACTGATTTACGAAGAATACTTAACCGCGCGAAATTGGAGACGGAATTTCGACTGAGAAGAAAGAAGTATTGATGCAGCATGTGATATGATTCGTTGAGATGGATGAACAAGGTTATAGAAAGCCATCCTCGGCACGAGCTGAGGGTGCGAGGTTTCACAGGCGATATCTCGAGATGTGGCGCCCAGTTTTGAAAAACTGAAATATGCGAACCTTCCATTTTACAAGTATATGCTCGGATTTCCTCACGGCTGTGCTCTTCATAGCCAGACCTATTTTTCGGAGTTTGGGTTTCCAGAGGAGATACGTATAGACAAGTCAATAGCAAAAGACGAGAAGAAATAAGCTCATTAATTCGTTTTATCGTTTTGTATGGCACACTTTTAATATAGTACAAGGCTAAGGGCAGCTCATCTGCTTAGCCATGGGTATTTTCCTTCTCAAACTCCACGCAAAAGCAAATATGATTGATTCCATTAACCTCAGAAACTCTATCCGTTACTTCCCGGGGTAGGAGTATGTCCTACGCTCCCACTCCCATTTCTTCTCATCAAGTTCGGAAACATTAAAGATCCATCCAGATCGTCCATATCAGGAACATCGCTCAAATCACTCTCATCATCTGCACTATCGTGTACACTGCCTGGTGCTGAACTATCCTCTCTTCTTGCGCTTTGCTGGGGTGCTGCAACAGGTATCTCGATTCTGGGGGCAGACGAAGTAATAGGCGATGCATTTGAAGGCAAAACAGAAGATGACGCGGCATTCTTAGGACGATTAGGGGCAGCAGGTCTAGCTGCTTCAGCGGCACGGTTGATAGATTGCTCAGCTCTTGTGATTACTGCCTTACGGTTGATACCGAGTTTGCGAGGTCTGGGCACCTCAACAGAAGGAAGCGGGGTAGAGGCATCCGTATTGGTAAGAATATGATTGAGAGTCATCGGACCCGACGGTCTTGTTGCAGCTTCTCCGTCAATTTGGGATTGGGTCAATGCCGTAACGTCTATTGCAGGAGTGTCCCTGACGACCTGAATATAAAGGACTGCCCAGATATCATTGATCATATCGTCGATTGGAGTTATCTTCGCAAGACCATTGTTGAGTTTCTTCAACTCAATAGTCTCTCGCAAAGCATCAAGAGCTGGGTGTGAAAGACTACCATCTCTGATAGAATCGTCTAGGCGTTGTGAGTAGGCCTCCCACACCTCCTGGGAGATTCCTCTGAAGACTTCGTCGACATTAGCAGGTATAGCAGCAGCTTTACGAATCAGCCTAAGATAAATTGTACAACATTCATTCCAGACATCGCCAAATTTGAAGTAGTCCACTGCCCGCTTCCTGACACGCTTAGCTAACAATTCCATATTTGGTTTATCGTCAGTAAGAAACAAGAGCCTGGCCATGAACAGAGCATAACGTCGCATGTAAACAAAATGTCTTCCTGGTCTTTCCGCTTCTGGTTTCCAAACTTGCATAGACATGGTTTTGGTGAATATAGACTCTCGAAATTCACTGCGAGCCAAACAAGCTTTTTCGTAATCCGGATTAGACTCATCGTAAACGACGTTAGCTACACGAGCAATCATACGATGATGCCAGTGTGGCTTGTCTAAATTCCGTAACTGGCGGAAGCAAGCAAGAATAAAGATTTCCCAATCTTCTTCATTTTCAATCACAAAAGGATCTCCCTTCCGTGGACCATATGGTCGGTCTTGTAGAAGCTTAGCGGCATCTTGAAATTCCATTTCTCCTCGCGCTACCAGTTTATGAACAAGAGAGGCAAGCTTATAATGTGGTTCCAGGATGGGCTCCTGACTGCTTTTACTTGGTTTCGGGCATGTTTCTATGGCACGAATGAACGTATTCAAGACCATCTCCATGGTGGGTACATTGGGCTGATAATATTCTTCCTGTGCGGCCGCTATCATTTTCCACTGGCATTTTCCCAGCATAAAATGATTCCTAAATATATTAGCATTCAATTTGACGCGAGTATGGAAATAAACTTACATCCAGAAATCTGGCCGATCCGCGAGAGAGCGCTTGAATAGTTCCGCTGCATATTTCCACAACTTGTATTTACTCATTTCCTCGAAAGGCGTCTTCTTGTACATCCCTATTTGTTCCCCGCTCATATGTTTTTCTTCGCCTACCCAGAACACTTCCATGCTGAAAGGCTCTCGAGATGATGCATACAAGCGCATTCCAAAATCATGATACATGTCAGACAGCTTTTCAGCCGTTCCAAATGAACTATCCGCGCAACGCATTGCTGTAGAGAGCGCCATAACATAACAGTGAATAGAAGACTTCTGCAAACGAACCAAAAGTGGTCTATCACCGTTCATTTTATCTGCGCTCCATAACACCTCTTCCTCTAGCTCCAGATCATAGCATTGCGCAAGTCTGTACCACGCTTCCCAGTGATCCGCAGTATATTGCAGCTGAAGCTTCATGAAATGTGCTGCAAAATTCAAGTCATCCGTTTGGGAGCCAGCACTGGTTCGCTTCGTTGAACGGTATTTTGTCAGAGCAAGCATACCTAAGAGATAATACCAACCTTTATCGGCAAGAGGGCTTTCTGGGGTATGTACAGAAATGAAATCAATCTCTACCTCGCCTCTCATGGCTAGATAAAAGTCGAGAGGACGGATTGGAGTTTTCAGATACTCCGTGATATTTCTTGAGTTATGTAGCATGGTAGGTGTTTCTTTGGGCTGACCGACAGCAGTTTGCATCTTTTCAATTGTGGGCTTGAGTTCGTGCTTCATAAGATCTTTCATTGGCATGTTGTTCGCAAGTGAGATGACTTGTTCTGCAATATTCATGACAGTTCGTCGATCCAAGTTTTCTCTAGGACAACCATGATCATCGAGCAGAAATGTGCCTACACCTAATTTGATGCCATATAGATCAAACAATACCTGGCCCAGATAGTCTTCCCATCTGTCAATGTACTTAAAACGGGACATTTCTTGCTTCATCATCTTAAGGAAAATTTTGTTCGAGACCTTGCAACACTTTCTCAAGCCTAATGAATAGTGGACTAGCGCAAGGAAATCCGCTAGATCATTATCAGGAGTTGGAAAGAGATCACGATTCTGAGTTGTAGCTTCTTTGACCATAGCATACTGTAAAGCCCACGTCCGTACTTGCATTTCCTTGACCTTGTTCGCAAAATTGTTAAACGATCCAAACATAGAGTAGACCCCAGTCTGTGGAAGTGAAATACTTCCAACACTAATTTCGTCATCGAAGACTGCCGCGGCGTGAAGAATACGGCTTAATTGTGCCAATGCGGCGCATGTTGATTTAATATGGCGGTCGTCGATAATTTCAAAGCAGGTTGTAGCTTCGTTAAGTGCTGTAGTCAATGCTGGAACCAATAGCTGATCAAGAGCCTTGAATAATACCAGCAACTTATGGCGACGAGTCTCTTCATCACATTTCAAGTAACCCTCACTTCTAAACTCTGCCACCAGTATCTCGATACATTTTAAGCTACATGAAAATACTTTGGTCTTGTATCCGATGCTGGCATATGCTTCGCTCAGACGTTGCCACAGAAAAAGACGAAGTGATGTGCTTCCACTGTCCAAGAATTTCCACATGTCACGCAATATCGCTGGTGTAGTATCTTTAATCTTGGAGATCTCGCTGTCTTGAGAATCAGCAATCTCCATTTCTAAAGACTGAGATGTGGATTCTGGATCCAAAACTGGCTCGAGCGTTTGGATAATTGCTAACGGGTCAGATTTATCGGGCTGGAAAAGATTTTGGAAGAATTCCATCGTTGTCAGGCTTGAGACCTCTCGATCTGCCGCCGATGTGGATATTTCAGGTATGACGGCATTGTTCGGAAGTAAAATTGGTGGTTTTCCAGCCTTGTCGAGAATATCTCGAAGGCTAGTCCAGAGAAGAACTTTATGCTCGCGTGAAACTTCTTCAGGAACTGTGGCATAAAAGACTGAAGCCCACAAATACCTTAGAGACAGTTCATCATCCTGCTCAGAATTCCGGCTACGCATCACAAAAGCCGAGAGATCTGCCCAACGATCAAGCCTATCCTTTGTCATAATTCTGATATCCATTCCAACCATACTATCTGCATTGGTAATGCGTGTATAGACGTCGAGGTGAAGTTCAAATATTGTTTCTGTTATCTCCTCTATCTGTGATAGGTGGGTGGAAGCTTCGCCAGATGAGCGACTTAATTCCAACTCTGACTGAACGCGATCGAAAATATCTGCGTCAAGGAAACTGATCATCCGAACAGTGGCTACTTTCAGTTCAGCACTCCATTGACGCTGTAGATAAGTTGCTAGAACAGTGCGAAGCCATTCAAAAACTACATCTTGTAACGGCATCCAATCTTTTTCGATTTTTTGTGCAAAATGTGATATCCCACCGAATTCTGCAAATGGCGGTGGTTTGCTGTTTATATTTTGTGATGCCGAATTTGAATGTTCGAGAAAAGCCGACAAGCCAGCATTCGCACTACCTCCAGAAGTTCCTAGGATGTCAGCGACATTAGCGTTTTCAAACACTGCTGCCTTAGCTTCGTCCCAAGATTTCATGATATCACGTAGATCTCTAACTGCAGTGTTGGTTCGGATATCATCGCGCTCGGTGGCTTTATCAATCGCCAAAGCTACTTGGAGCTCTTCACGGGTCCCTAAATCTTCAACGCCTATTTTCTGGAGCACATTCCCAACAAATCTGAAAACATCATCGTCAGCACGAGAAAACGTCCTAAGCTGTTCGGCATATTGAGCTGCTGGGTCGACGGGAGTTTCAGTAGTAGTAATTTCGCGATTTCTGATACGCCTGCTACGCTTGTGGGTGCTGTTTTCCTCTTCTGGGGTGTCGCGCAAGCCAGCAGCAGACTGAGACCTTTTTCTTGTAGGCAAAGCTGCATCAGGGAGTTGTGCAGAAGCTGTTCCAGCAGGCTCGCCGGTCCTTTCATCAGAATTATTGGTAGTAGGTGTGCCATTCCCAAGACTTTCGACTATCGGGGATATCGACATTACAGTGTCGACGACCTCTGGTTGATTTTCAACATGCTGTTCACCCAATATGGGCTCGGGGGAGAAGTACTGGTCCTCTCCTTGGGGTAAAGCAAGTATAACACCAACAACAGGAAGGCAAGTTGAAGCTTGGCATATCTCATGGCCAATAGCTGTCCATGACCTTTCTGGTACGTTGATAATTGCACGGCCTTCGAGAATCTGCAATGGTGCATCATTATCCATGCTCCTATTCAAGATTTTGGTGGGATTTGGCAGGAATGGATATGGATCAATGTGTTTCTTCAAAAATTGAGGCATTTCATTCTTTTTGTAGGGTCCCATTATTGGATGAGATAGAGATAATTCATCAGACAAAGATTCGAGTACACTCTTCAATTGCTCTCCCGCAAAACCTTCTTCTAAAGATTGAGGTTCAACTTCAGCAATGGTTGGATCGTCATCAACCTCGACAGCAGCCTCAAGACAATATCGAGCAATTCTCTGACTCCCAAGCATGGCTCCAATACGAGCTGCTCGTCTCCATAGCTCGGTATCCGATTCATCACTGGCTAGAGCACGTCCGAAATCATCCATTGAAACTTTGGCTTGTAGATCTAGTGTTGCGGCATCATCCATCACGCCATTCGAGTTTCGCAGGCGAGCCTTAACACAGTCCAAAATGAATTGTCCATGATTTTTGTATGCGAGGTAAAGGATTTGAGGTAATGTGCTGGATGTGCCATCCGCGACAGCTTGGCCGATATCGAGTTCAATAGGTATGGCAGAGTCGGCATACTCAAGTTCGGGATGCTCTTCGAGTCTTGTAAATTCAGTGACAGCTTCTGGGTAGCTGAAGATTTCCGATTGAAATAAATTCTTGTAGGCTTCGGCAGCTTCTCGATAGAAAGGAAGACCTTGGGCATGTAGCTTAAGCGCAGCTGTGTAGAGCTTAAGAGCATCTTCTATTTGAATCTCTCTCGTGTTATCGATCTCATCATAGCTTTGATCGTCTGGTTCGATGTTTAATGCGGTAAAAGTCGCCATCTTGACGAAAGAACCGCGACGGTGTGCTGCTTAAAAGGTTAAAAACAATGAGGTCTCGTTATTTATTGTATACGCGACGCCATATTGCGCCGTGTACAAGTGTCACGGATTTCGACGTAGCAGTCTGGCCAAATGATTAGATAGGATACAGTATTGCCCGTTTCGCGCTCTTGTCCAGCTTTTCGACACAATGCGACACAAGTTGTGATTATGTGTTTGTCGAACTTCAATTTGCACAGGACGGAGAGCTTTCGGGGTCTAAGTTCGTATTCGTACGATAGGTGTTGATATCTATTTTAGCTATCGTGTCGAAACAACGCGGAAATCACAGTGAACATTGATTGAATGGGTGAATACTCGTAGGTAGGTATTGTCCATAGTCGATCAAATTCACCAAGTTCGAGTTCCGCGATAACCTTTTTTCCGAGAGGTCGGACACCCCCCTGCAATCGGTGACAGACGGTTATCTCATCAATAGCTAGAAACATGGCTGGTACCTTTGATCATGATCATGCATGTTATTATCGTAGTCTTCTGTCAATTGTTCAAATTGGAAATTGGCATTCAAGATGTACAAGTCTGTCGTTGATAATGCCAATGCAAAAATTACTCATAGAGTAACGCGAATTAGATTCCCATTATCTGTTCTACTCCTTGTCGCTGTCGTTCTTGGTTTGCAGCTTATCATTCTCCCCCGATACATATATCAATTATCTCCAGCAGCTACAAAGCTTTCAGATCATTACATATCTCAACTTGAAGTGGGATATTCTAAATGTCTAGATCTACATACATTGCCCAAAGAATACTCTCATTCGGAAATCACGTCACGAAAGAATCCTCGCTGGAACTCTATTCGTGGTCAGAATCAGACCATAGTCTTGAAGAATGCAACTCTGTTCGATGGCAAAGCTCTTCTCAGTGATTTTGTGGATATAACATTCGAGAATGGACTCATCAATTCCGTATCAACAGCTACTAAATCTATCGTTTATGATTCCAATGTTCAAATTGTCGACCTCGAAGGTAAATATGTTACACCAGGTCTGGTCGACATGCATTCACATCATTTCTTGCACGCTTGGCCTGAACTCTCTGTTACAGGCGATGAGAATGAAGTTCATATGGGTCCTCTTACCCCATTCGTTCGTGCAATTGATTCTATCAAGACGGATGACAAGGCAACTGCTATAATCGCTTCAGGCGGTATTACAACTTCCCTTCTCATCCCTGGCTCGGCAAACATTATAGGTGGTGAAGGAATTCTTGTCAAAAACTTCGTTCCTGGTGGTGAAACTGGTGAAGAAGTAGTTGAAGAAGTCTTATTTGAACATGGTGTACCTATCGAGGAGAGGAGAAGATACATGAAGATGGCATGCGGCGAGAATCCGACAACTGTCTATGATCATACCCGAATGGGTAATGCTTGGTTGTTTCGAAAGCAAATGACACGAGGAAAGGAGCTAATTGAAAAGCAAGATTCTTGGTGCTTATCAGCTGCTGCGGCGTTAGAAAGTAGAGATCCTGCCACCATTTCAGCCTTTATGAAGAACGGTGGCTTACCGGAAGAATTAGAGTTGGAATCTACGGTAGCATTATTGCGAGGTAAGGTTGGAGTTAACATACATTGTTATGAACCTGAGGACCTTGAAGACATGATTCATCATAGTAAGGAATTTGGATTTCGAATTCAAGCATTTCACCACGCCCTTTCAGCCTGGAAAGTGCCCGAGTTGATCAAGAGTAGCGGAGAGTAAGTTCTGAAAGTATATTTGGAGTGGCTACATTCTCATAGTGCAATAGGAATATTACCATTGCAACCTTTTCCGAATTCGGGTTTTACAAGAAGGAAGCCTATGATGCCAACTTATGGGGCGGGAGTATTCTAGCTGAGAATGGGGTTCCTGTTGCATACAAATCCGTCAGATGCCCTTCTCTTATGGCATATACCAAAGCTAACATTTCAAAGGATCACGTTTTCGAGTTTACCAATGCACAATACTTAATGTATGTCTCCTTCAATTCGTTAACATGAAGCCACTATTGATACATAGATATATCAGGTTCCAAGCCGCGACTGCACATGCTTTCAATCTCTCCGAAGCTCTTGCTTTGCAATCCGTAACTAGTGTGCCTGCAAAATCGTTAGGAATTGACTACCGGGTCGGATATGCACGCCCTGGTTATGATGCAGACCTTGTAGTGTGGGATTCCCATCCGCTTCTCGCCGGATCTACACCTTTACAGGTTTACATTGATGGAAAAGCTACTCTGGACCCTGTCAAAGTCGCGGAAAATACAGCTGAATATTCTACCGAACGCACTTTAATGAAACCAAGATCGCGAATTACTCAGATATCGAAACAAAGCTCGTGTAGCAAATTAGACAACTCGGAACAAATTATTGCTGTTACTGGAATTAAACAAAGCTATTTGACGCCACATCAGGATGTCTCATCAGAAACAAGTAACCTCACGATGGTTTTGGATGGTGGCAAAGTTGTCTGTCTAGGCTTGGAGCAAGAATGTGCTACTTTACTCCGTGAAGACACGACTATTATTGAGCTCGAGGAAGGTGTTGTAATGCCAGGGCTTACTGCATACTCACCCAGTCTAGGCTTGGCAGAAATCCTCGGAGCTTCTGAAACCTCAGATGGCTCTCTTGACAAAAGTCTGGCTCTGTTGCAGCCAGATAATATTATCCACGCCAAGTACGGGATCCATCTGGATGGACGTGGATTTTCTAGGGCAAGACTTGGTGGTGTTACCCAAGTAATCACTACACCAATTTCTGAGACATTCTTTGGTGGTGTGAGTACGGGTATCAAAACTAACGGTAAACACAACATCCTCGATGGTGGCATCTTCCAGGACGATGTTGCTTTACACTTTTCAATTGGTCAAATGGCCAAACGTAAGTCTGGTCTCCACAATATAAGTTAAGGACACTATTAAACCATATATACAGAATTCGAGTCCATACCCACAGTATCCTCCGCCATAGCAAAGCTGCAAGATGTTTTGATCAAGAATATTGGCAAAGACAACGTGTTTGACACTGTTGCAAATGGATCATTTCCATTAGTGGTACATGTGGATAATGAAGTTAGCTCACCTCTCCTCATTTGATATTTTGAAACTGACACTTAGAATTACAGTATGATATCCTCCAGCTCATCAAACTAAAGAACAACCACCCACTGTCCCTCAATCTCGTTCTTCTAGGCGGAGCGGGCGCTCATCTTGTAGCTGAAGAAATTGCAAAATCCAAAACACCACTCATCCTGACCCGAAATCGCGGTGCCCCGGATATATACGAGAAACGCAACGCTCTCTCTGGTCCTCCGCTAACACGTTCTCCTGCTGCAGTTCTTACGGACGCAGGTGTGTTTTTTGCATTGGCAATTGAAGGCGAAGGCAGTAGGTTTCCTGACTCTATTTCCCATCATTGATCAGCCTTAAATGGTCTAACTAAACTTACAGGTGAATCACATATCCACAATCTCGCGATTGAAGCGGGTTGGGCAGCTAAATATTCCAGCCTCACAAAACGCGAGGCTGTGGACTTGGTTTCTCGTAATATTGAGAAAATTCTAGATCTGAAAGTTACAGAAGAAACCAGAGATTTCGTGATTTGGGAGGGAGATCCATTACAACTGGGGGCAAGTGTTGTATTTAGTATAGAAGGCGGAAAGTTGGGAACATGCTTGCCCTTGTCGAATTGATACCTACGTTTTACGCCGACAAATCGACCAGCACGACCGTTATTTATCCCTAGATAAAGAACATTCTCATTGTCAAATAGCATACTCAGAATCTCGCAATAAATGTAAAAATGTATGTGGGAACCAATGTGCGACCATCAATTGACCCAATGGCCTCGAGCATGTCGTATTTTTTTGTTTCAAGAATGTTATTTGCCTGTATTTTGCTCAAGTTGGTAGTAAAATCTCTCATTTTTTCATCTAGAACCTGGCCTTCAGCAACACTCGTAACCTATCAGTGGTTCCTTCCCGCCACTGCATTTGGCCCCGGCCCAAACCCAGTACTGTTTTTAGAAGTCTCAATGAATATTAAGCGCCCGCCTATACTGTTGGAGAATTCCCGACGTCAGATCAAATTTGTATAAATAAAATTATTTGACCCGTAGTTAGGAAATCAGAATTTGCATCAAATGCATCTGGATAATCACATATTATACCATCTTATCAAATCCGAGAAATCATGAATGTTTTACTGAAGAAAAAGGATAGAAAATCTGCTACGCCCAGTACCACTAGCTCGGCTAGTTCATCAACACACAACAATGTGACATCGACGAACGCTTCATCCAGTACCAAGGTCGGAAGTACAGCTTCTCTGAAAGGCGGGTCGGGCTCTGAAAGCAATAAACATCGCATTCACAAAAGTCATGATGGATCCACTAACTCATCTAGCACCGTAGTAGGTAGCTCATCAAGCTCCGCAGGGGGGGGTAAGGCAGATTCTGGCAATAAGAGCCATCGCGAGAAAGATAGCAATCACGGGCCTGACAGCTCATCATCTCAAGCTTCAGTAACGAACCCAAGACCAGAACTAAAACGTGCACCTAAGAGTTTACTGTCGAATATCTCTCTATCACGTAAAAAGCTTGATGCTGAGGAAAAGGAGGAGGATAGGAGACTTGAAGATAAACATAGACTTTTAGAGAAGCAAAAGCACAAAGATTACGATTTCGTGGTGGCATACAACGCGGCCGAGTTAGAGGACAGAAGGTATCAGAATGCGAAAACCCGCCTGAAGACTCTAGAGGACGAGTTGCAGGAATTAAGGTATCAGCAAGCGAAAACCCGCCTGAAGACTCAAGAGAACGAGTTGGAGGAATCAAAGTATCAGCAAGCGAAAACCCACCTGAAGAATCTAGAGGACGCTATACTCGCGACGGAAGAAGAAAAGAGACAGCAAGAAAATGAAGTGAAAACTAAAAGGAAAATTCGTAATAAAGCGGACGAAGAACACCAAAAATTACTCGAAGAAGACAAAGAAATAGCGGTCAAACAATTGGATGTATTGAGCGAAATGAGCAAGAGCAATTCTTACAAGGTTAAAGTAGAAAAAGCAATGAAAAAGAAAGAGGAAAAGTATCAAAAGTGGGAAATCAAACGGGATGAGAAAGCCAAGAGGGCCAGAGAGGCTGCAATGCAGGCGGAGCAGGAAAGAATTGCAAATGATGAGGAGAAGGAAGACGAAAAGACAAGGAGAAGAGGTGAGCTGATAATGGGCAAAGATCAATATTTTGATAGGTCACTGTATAACCATAGTACAAGGAAAGTAGGAAGAGGCGGGGAAAAGGAAAGGGGAAAAGGGAAAACTAACAATACTTCTCAATCCTGAATGAGGTGATGTTTGCCCTTCAGCGCAGATGAAGACAAAGCTAGTGTCAGGTTCCGGAAATATAGCTATTAAAGAAGTATATGCGTTAATTATTCCACCTCTCAAAGCAATTATAGTATACTATACATGATTTGTGCCAAGTTGAACTTTTTGTTCCTATCAACTTTTGGATATCAGACCCATCTTAACCCGCTAAGTTCTAGAACATAAAACCTCCATTTCCTGCTCTCACTCTTAACCGCATGTGTACCACCCGAAACTTCTATTTTCGAGTTCTACTACGTAGGCTTCTTATCCTTCGGTGCCGCTACTTCTAAAAGCCGCACAAAGTGCTGCATAGTGGTGTGTCAAGTCCAAGACGTTTTGCGGTAAGCTTGTTGCTTGAATAATACTCCTCACCTTTACAGCACCTTCATCTTCTATCAGTGTGCGTATTGTGTACAGCAATTCTGGTGAGAATTCCGAGTACCATCTGTATTGCCAAGTGACCAGTCTAATAACACTAGCAACTGTGTCCCGAGTGTTCTTGTTCTTCTCCAATTCGGCGAGAATTCCCGCCAATGCTTTGGGAGAGAAACGTATTTGAAGACAGTTGCGATAAGCTTCAACAGCTTCCGGCTGGTGATGAAGTCTATCGGCTAACGAGCCGAGAATTTCCCATTCCTCGGCCGATTTCTTGTATTGCATTTGTTGTGCACGGTACTGAGCCATTTCAGTTCTCCATATAGTATAGATACGAAGGTCTTCATAGAGAACCATGAATAGACTATCAAGCCAACGCTCACAAAGTCTCTTGTTATTGAATCTGGAAAGTTGTTCTTCGGTGGTCTCGCTCTGCTCAACGTTAGCGGATTCATAGGGAATTTTCGATCGTCACTCACATCTTCGTTACCACTTTTCACTTCTTCTGCTGCAACTGTATGTGAAGGCTTCTCTACAGAATCATCGGCTCCGTTACCATCCTCGGCGTTCGGTTTAGGAGCTGCCGAATCGCCATTCGTACTTTTTTCGTCGTCGGAATGGTCATCACCATTTGCACGAGGACCTGGACTTCCTCTCAGTACGTCGGTGCTTGCACTACGCTTAGTGGATTCACCTTGTTGACCAACTGGTGGTTGTTTTTCACTTCTATACTCCTCTTCCATGACGAATACATTACTCCTAATCTTGAGAAGTTGATCCCAGCCAATCTTTGCTGTCATTTCTGTTAAGATACTATAAGCGCGCTTGAAAGTACCTTTATACATAGCGGCACGTAGATTTAAAAGGCTTTGGTGAACTTGTTCTGATAACCTTGACTCCGGTTCACTATCGATCTCATCTAACCTAGTCTCGGGAAGGGTTGGAAGGTGGATTTCCTTAGGCTCTGGCATGTTAGGTGCATCCTTGTCTTGATATGTAAACATGGGGCATGAATTTAGAGTCGTAAGAGCATTCTCCCAATCTTCCATTGCAACATAAACTTCAGCTAAGCGTGCCCATGTTCCAAATTCGCTCGGCGCAGCAATGGTACTTCGATCTGCGCAACCAAGGGCCATCTGTAATCTTTCAGTCTTGAATTCTGGCTTGTTGGGGTCCATTGCCTTCTTTTTCAAAAACCCGGCTTGAGTATCAAGCATAACATAATCCATTGGCGACTGCTTCACAGATTCATGTAATACTCTAACGGCTTGTACCTCCTCATTGCCCATAAACAGGACCTTGGCTAAAAGAGAGGAAACCTCAATATTTCGGGTTCGAAGCTTTTCAAATAGATTAATTCCAGAGGCGTATCGCCCAGTGGTTTGAAAGTATTTTAGAAGACCTGTTGTTAAATGGTTCGAGACATTGTTTGGTACCTGAACGATCGAATCGGATCCAAGTTGCCAGCCTACAGAAGTTAGTCTTGGATTTTGCCCTCACATCAATTGGCATACCTCTAAAGAATAACTGTTCGGCAGCCTGGAGGAATCTATGTTCTGTCTCCGTCGTGGTCACTGGATTGAATCTCCTAACTCCAATTATCTTTCGAATGGTGTCTCCACTTCCATCATCCGCATATGAATATGCCCGAAGAACACTACACAAGTATGTTTCCAACCATAACTCATCGGTTGTTGTCCTCTTGTCGCCTCGCTCATCGATACAATAACTTTCAACGCTTCCTGGAATTGTGACATGGACGCGCATATCCAATCGAGAAAAGGCATTGTAACAACTAATAGGGATTAGTAACACTCCGCATTGACAGACTTCTAAACCGACCAATATACGCCCTCAACTATCTTTGTCGTAGACTGATGATTTTCTTTGTAGGTAAGGGTATTGATATATGCCGCTAAACTTGCAGATGATGATGCATCGACGCCGGTGACATGATGATATACACCAATCTGCTTTCCTGGATTTCTCGGGGCTTGCTTTATCAATTGGACTAAATCTGGTGGGCCCAATTCTCTCAGAGCTGCTAGAACTTCAGATCGCGCATCGATGGATTCGTGAACGATCTCTTCGGTGATCTCAGGAACAGCTGGCGCAACCATCTTATCCTCTCACAGGGCGAACCTGTCTTGTTGGTGTTGGTAAATATCGCTGTGCGAATTGGAATGATTTGTGATTTTCAGAAAGCTCAATTCTAGGATATGTCTTGAAATTACTAGAGACCTGAACAGTGATAGTGGGGGTTTCTTGCGGTCGACAACTTTGTGGTTGGTATACAAATGTAAACACCTCATCGGCAGGGAGCTCAAGCCACACTTCAGCCTCGCCAATTCATCGCCATCAGGCTGTGCTTAATCAGCACACCCATTGTTTTGCAGGCACGGATATGATAGAGAAGATTTCACGACAAACAGTGCCTCGCGATTTGAAGGAGAGCCGACCATCAGGCGTAAAAGGCTGTTCCATTGTAGAAACTGCTTTGGATACTTTAGAAGATCTGATTATTGGCTCTGAATTGGGGTTATGGATAGAGAAAATTACCTAATTTGGTCTTGCAAAGTTGCATCCATTCTATTGTTTATCAAGGGCTCAAAAGCCTAGCACTATATCCAGTAGTCCAGTGGTCCAGATGCCTATACTCCCTTCATTACTACTTCATGGAATGGCCTTCTAAGCCAGAGTTTGCTTCTTTGTATTATCTCATTACTTGCTCGCAATGCTTCAAGTCGAATGTGTAACTTCACAAATCATGTCCTCAAATTGTAGTCATATTGGGCTGTTAACATGATATATCTTTTAATATGTTGTTTTCCTATCATACATGATTTGATTTCTCTAGAATTGTATTATACATTTTTAATACTTCCTATTTACCTTTGAGGTTTTTTAACCAGTTTTTGAACCACTCCACAGAGAAATAGCCTGTGATCCAGCTCCCGTGCTTTCGTGTCCCCTTGCGTATTGGTGTCCCCAGAACCTTTTTCTCGGCCTTACTTAAAGTTGGCACATACCTGCTTTCTCCATCAACATCTTCCCACCACCTTGAGATGGGACCGTTAAAACCCATTGTAAGCATCGTGCTATCTTTAGGAACCTCTTGTAAAACAAAATTCCTTTACCATTCTTGACCCTGATTCAACCCTCTCCCTAAGTCCATCCATTTCGTAGCCACAAATGCTAATCCTTCACCCCCATAACCGACGAGATTGGCATGAAATTCTGTCCCACAAATTGGGCACTCCCATTGCATGCCGAAGGACAATAGCTCTGCCCAGTTTCTACCTCCACAGAGAGGTCCCATGTGCCCGCATATAAAAATGGGATCCAACCATTGTTCGCAGTCATAAGTTCGGTGATGGTCATAGAGTAGTCTAATAAAATAACCTGGATAAATGGAAACGTTTAAGGAATCTAGAAGGTTATGAGGAAGCAAGTACACGTGCTGAGAACGGTAAATGATTCGGGCCTGTGAGTTCATGCGAAATTCATGAGTGATGCAAGGGTCATTTGGTTGATGGCGATGGTAGTTAATCAACTGATCTCCTGTTCTGCCTATCGAACGTAGCTGAAGTTGTGAAGATTCGTATTTGCCTTCGTTATATAACTTCGCAGCCATTTGCATTTCACTAAAACGGAATTGCGCGTGAATATATGACTCCACTCCAAATTTCTTATCATGCTCCCAACATTTCCTGGCTGTCGTCGAGGCAGATGGTTCATGCAGCTTCAGACATGTGTGACACGGGATGTATTGCTCGTAGTCCTTGCACAGGAGATCAAGTAGATCAGTAGTTTCCTTCGGAGAATTCTTGACGACGTCAACGATTTTAGTCCAGTGTTCTGGACCGAGGGAATTCTTCAATTTGAGAGAAGTAAGAGTGTATGCTACAACCGAAGATTTTGGAAGGTAGGCAAAAATACAGTCTAAGATGTCATTGGGGAGGATAAAAATCGCAGCGTTCTTCGGGGCATAGACAGCACTCTTTCGTATTGGAAATCTGGATATTTCTTCCCGAGGTGTAAGGTTTTTGGTGGTAATTGGCTCTTCGTCTTCAGACTTTGGAATCCCCGTTTGCATTGGTGTGACATACACATAGCTAATTGTGCAAATCTGCCTTCGATTGTCGATATGGTAGGTAGTATTCTCCCCCTCTTTACGAATCGCTATGCCACATTTTCCGTCTACAGAGTTCGCCGATTCTTGTATTACTTTATCATATATATATCTAATTTTCCAAGCCTCACTACCAATTGTGATGATGTAATAAGTATTCACCAGAGGTTTGTGTTTTGGTATGAGGATGCTAGGTTTCCTGTTCCGAGATCGAAAACTCGTTGCTTCTATTGTGGTGGTATCATCCACGCTCTTGAAGTTCCAACCAATATGATCAACATCAATAGAGTAGTTAGTGTTTGGGCAATATATGATTTTGATGGTAGAAGGTAAATTTATTGGTCCGTAATACGGTTCTTTAGACATGATGAAAGATTGTCGTCGCCGAACGATGTGTTACTAAATGTAAGAATAGTTTGAAGGTCTCGGCAAGTCAAAAATCAAACTGGATGAAGTGGAATTGGACAATTTATATGTGTTCCCTGTATCATGTGATCATTCTTCAACTAAACCTAGCTATGATTTAAAGATTCAATTAGGAAATATAGTGAACTAGTGCAGTACACTAAGCATCTAGTCTATGATTATCTGACTAAAATATGATGTTTGCTCGCTTCTTATCACCCAAACTCCTACAAGTCCCAGTCTAGTACCGGTGTAAACTATCAACTTGCATTGCGATACCACTTGTCAAATTCATACGTTCTTCTCTTCTCTTGTCATTCATACTACCTCTCAGACACCCATTTTCAAGTAGAAACTACGTGTCGTCAACTTCAGTCCACGCTATCACCATACCCACATTTACTTCTTGATTCTCCAACATCTCATCCACCGCTTTGTAAGAATACGTCTTGAAAATAAAACTTTTCTTCTCCTATTGGTCTTTTCTCGTTAATAAAGCTCACTCCGGTGCTCAAAAATGATAGTTTGGATTATCACAATAGTATAAAAGTAAAATTGACCTATACCAACTATGAAATTCAAATTGAATTACCCTGGCAGATACCATCTAGTAAGTCCTTCAGCAACATCATGTTATCTAAATATCTACTCCATAGGACTACCAATTGCTATTTACCCCAGTATAAACAAAGTGTGTTAGAAGGAATTTTTCTTCCAAATCTCTTCCCTTCTCTTTTCCAATAATTTAATATACTCGTCTCACTTTCCTCACAAATCAAGATCTCGTAGCGACTGACAACGAGTAATAATCACTTATACCTACCTTTACCTAACAAAGACGATGAAAACTCAAGGAAATGAAAACAAGTCAGGACCACAAGCCGTGAGATAAGAATTCTCTACCGAAAATTTCGAATTCACACCTCGTAACTCTCAATAGATCTCTCAGCAGATCAAACATATAACAAATCAATCTATCCAGATCTTTCGCACTCATCCCCATACATACTGAATATTGTACAACGAACAAAGAGCTGATAAGAAGTCTATACATTCATATGTAACCTATATACCCGTATACCAACATCCAAACAATCCATATTCCATATCCCATATAACGTTAAACCACAGCATACCCTATTCCAAACTCTCACCTCACTCATCTATCTACATACATACTCATACCCATAACCCCCCCCCCTTAAGCCCCCCTACACAAACAAATATATCAATTTTCTACATCTACATCCCACCTCCATTCCCCTCAGAAAATTCACCTACATTCTCACAATCGATTAAAATTTCCAAATACGTCTCAGATTCAGGATTGAATGAAGATCGTGATCATCATCGTGATCGTCATCATGATGTAATTCGTAACGAGTATCCAGAATTCTATAATATATATCCTTCTCAGTTTCCTAACCCTAACCCTAATTCAAGAAGAAGGAGGAGAGGAGCCAAGATTGGCGATCGATCGCTACGGGGATATTTAGATTTACAGGACCGGATATCCATCGCCCATAGAAACGCCCTAATAAGAACGAGCGAGAGAAACGAGCGAGACAAGAGAATCGACATACGAGCGAGACCATGCACTCATGACTCATCAGTCATCAGGCACTTAAAAGAAAAGAAAAAAAAGCATAAAGAGACGGCTCAGGCGGATAATATAAAGCTATACTAGACTATCCTAGAGGAGACGATCCTGATTATCCATGTTATACAGCCCATATACGATGTCATCCTCACATATAACACCACACCATACAAAAACCACAATCCAATCCAATCCAATCCACAAAATAGTTTAATACACCCACCAGGCCCCTGTCTCCCTCCCCCCTCTCTCTCCCTCTCGCCCTCTCGCCCTCTCCATCTCCATCTCCAAAATCCCAATAACCCCTTATTTACATTTACATATTTACATATGTACACATTTACACATTTATACATTTAAATAAATACCTACAAATCCAATTTATATTTCTTATTTTCCTTATTTCCTTATTTCCTTATTTCATTTCTTCATTCATTCATTTCCTCATTCATCATTTATTTTTCATTACACCACAGCACAATATATAACTACTTCATACAACCACTACCACTACAGACAGTACTACCAATTCTTCCCCTTCCCCTTCCCCTTCCCCTTTCTCTTCTCTATTCTTCCCCTCCCTAGACTCAACCGACCACTCTCCTTCTCATCATCGACTCTCCTTCCCATCATCGATCCATCGATCAATCTATTAGCAATAAGAATTACTTCCCTCAATCACCAATCACATGATAGATCTGGTCTCAAAATCTCCCATTACTTCTAGAATCCTCACACCGATATCATCATCACAAGTTCGTTCCTATGTCTACCTATTCAACACATCAAAATATAATCACAATCACAATTATCAATTCAAATATAACAAAGTCAAAGGCAATAAACTCTTAATTAATCTAAAAGATTTTACACAATCGTCTTTTGCCTTCCTTTGAATCTCAAAGGTTTGTTTCCTCACTCCTCCATATCATTCGTTATGAGTGAGGGACGATCAAAATTATCATATCTTTTCACCCACAACAGCCCTCAATTTCCCAAGTCCTCAATCTATATAGCCCATCCATGCATCAAGTTCAATCCCAATCCATTCCATGCAAACCTCCCAAATGGTATAATAAACTTTCTTACTCCCACCCCCTTCCACAAAGACAAGAAAGTAGAAGACAATCAGATCCATTCCATTCAATTCAATTCCACCCTTCACCACTCGAAAAAAAAAAAAAAGTCGGAAAAAATCGAGTAACAACTCAGGATATCGAGAACCCATCATAAAATCATTTCGTAAAAGGAAAAAAAAGAAAAGAAAAATCCATCTTTGTATCCAGAGCCCCAACTGATATTGAACCCCCTTGACCCAAGCATGCCCTTTTTTTTTTGTTACGAAGTACTTGCCACGTGCAAGCAAACAAGCCAAAATGTCTTTTTGACTAAACCCATCTTTGTAGGAGAAAAGTTGAAGTGTGGCGTAGCTAGCCAGGAGATAGTCGAACCTCGACGGCAATAGAATTTTCCCTCCTTCCTAAAGTAACCCAATCTTTCATGAAAAGATGTCAAATTTGCGTGCCTTAACCACCTGCATTCCACCCAGATGTTCTCCATGTCTTGGATTCATCAAAATCAGAATAGATTTTATTCGTCATTTGTGAACCAGTGGAAAACATGATTGAAATCGAAAACAAACGCAATCCATCCCGTATACCCAGCCATTTTTGTGCAAGTCAACTCTCCAACATTAATGAGAAGTCGGCGAAAGATCCAGAATAACAAAAAACATAGTACAAGAAGCTTACTTTTTGAAGACTGCTCTTGAGAAGCAAGACCCAAAAAGTAAGAAATAGAAAAAGTCTGTGCATAATTACATTTTGCAATAGCGAGCCCAAACGTGACTGCTATGAATTTTTTGTATAGCTCTGAACTTGAGCACAAAGGTCTAAAAAGCAAAATGTGTAAAGAAAAAGCGAGAAATTCAGTTAGTAAACAATCCCAAGCCTGGAAACCCAAACACCAGACCAGAAACCTTCCAGGTCCCATGCCCAACCCATTTTGAGAAAGAAAGAAAAAAGAAAACAAGAAAATGTCTAGATTCGCTTGATGTAACGCCGTCGAGTGTGGTTGAAAAGAAGTAAAGTCGTAAGATCGAGGCGGCCACCGGAAGGCGCAACGCAACTCGAGATCGTGATAGTCGGACATGAATTCCGTGTAGTTTATTATCGAGTAACCCTTGAATTTGATGAAAGGAAACTAGGTAGACCGATGGCGACACCTCTTTTTGTAAACGTAATATGTGCTTTAGAAAGCCGCTAAAAGGAAATAATTGAAAACAAGAACTTTTGTGACGACAAATATTTATGCCGTGTGTATTCCGGTGTATAGAACTAAGCAGATCGATAAATGATTGAGGATTACTTAACCAACAACGGCTTGGTGTCCTCCATATGCGTGGTGAGGCATGAAGTATTGCTGTTTTCCTTGCGAAGAATATTCTGAAGGCTGAGGGTTCCAGATATTCAAGCTGTATTGGTGAAAGTAATGTGAAGGACTGTAATGGTGAGGGCTATAGTGGTGAGGCCATTGATTGTGGAATCGAGTAGACATATCGGGCATGACATAAGGAGCGTTTGCCGCAGCCATGCACGCTTTCGCGTATTGGCTGTACGCAGCAGCATTCCAATCATATTGAGGAGCCGTACTGGTAGCACTCAAATATTCTGGAGTAGTGACACCCGAATCAGGAGCAGATGGTGGTGTATGCTGAGGGGTAGGATATGAATGATTGGCCCAAGCAGGATGTTCGTAGTGAATGTATTGTTGTCGCTCTTGTGTAGCACTCTTGGGGTAGCCTCTGTAGTTGGCGTTGGATGGACGGCGCGAAACATTGGTATCGATAGGAGCCAAAGGTGTGGGTGGAGCGGAAAGGCGCTCGAGAGTAGCAGCCTTTACCTTCTTTCTGTCTGCAGACCAAAGGCTCCAGTTTGCCAACCATGCTTGGTAGGCGTCGCTGTTATCAAGATCGACATACAAGTTCCACTCGATGGCTTCCAACCAAGCGTGCTCCATGTTGTTGAGTTCGGTCACTGCGATACCACTGACTTCTGACCAGGACTTATTCTGAAAGGTATTATCATCCAAGAACTTACTTCCCAGAAGCAAGCCAACAGTCAAAAGTCTCCACATCGAACCGCCTCTTGAAACAATTTTTGGGTGTTGTTGAATGCGGTTGGAAAGATAGTTCATACCAAGGAGAATGGTCGTGTGAGGAAGACGAGTGGATGAAAGGAGTCCGAGAACGAACTTGCGGAATTCTGGTGCAACAGTTGTTGTGTGGGGATCAACAAGTCTCTGTGTCATTTCTGCCACATAGTCTGTCATGTCCTCGATCTGATATTCCAGATGAGCACATACACCTCCGGGAACCATGACGGGCGAAGTTTCGAGGGGACCGACGAGATTCTCTGGAATCTTGTCGGGGAGCAAGAAGAAGGATTTCTTGCTGAGATTTGTAATAGTAGTAGAAAGTGTGCTAGTTGACCAAGCAAGCAAGCGAATTGACTGATGCTACTAAACAATGAAGCTTCGGATTGAAAGAGATCCTATCGTGGTTGTCGGGTTGACAAAGGATGTTTGTAGAAGAGTGAGGTTGAAATTTATTGTTGTGTATGCGCCATCAATCGATTTTGTTCAAAGTAAAAGTTGATAATTAAATAGAACTTTTGGTATGACTGAAAAGATGATTGCGGATGGGGTGATTGAGAAACAAGTATTCCTTATGGTACGAGAATAGTTGAAGTGGAAAGTTGACGAGTGTTCGGGTAGCCAAACACAAACTTTTGAGACTAATCGAATCGAATGTGCAAAACAGTGCAAAGTGAATATCGAGTCCTTGAAATTCTAGGTTAATCCTTTAGAATTATTAGTAAACATTCAATAAATGTTAATGTTAATTGTGAAATGAAGTCTGTGCTAAGTCTGATACACCAAAATCAAAGACTATGATGATGTGACAAAGATGCGACTTGTATCTGGGAATGGCCGAAGAGGCAAAAATAAATAAACTGGAGAATGTCGAGGAGCACTCCGAAGAGTTGAAAGAAGAGGTCGGAGGATGAATGAATATTGTTGTAAAGAGAGATGATTTGACGTGTTTGACAAGATGACAAAAGGATGGCAATTAATACGAGGGAAGTGGTCAGATTCGAATGATGTGTGTATGTCTGTACGCCGTCGTAGTAGACCATTCGCAGGTTGTTGTGGTATATTCGGAAAGGTGGAATGTGAATGATATGACGGTGTTCCAGGAATCCAAAACAAGCTGAAGTTGTATGTAAAATAAAAAAAATAGAATAAAAATAGTACGAACCTTTTCTTGACAATGAAGTCTTCAGAGGATAATCTTTTGAATGAATTTGAGATTTCTTTCAACCGATGCAACTTCCTTTCGTGATGGTATTGTCTTGTTCCTAATAGAGACAGGCAATGTAGGACCTGTAGACCTGTAGATCTGACGTTGAAATGGGAGCGTGGAAGTACGGGAGTGTCGGATCGTAGAATAAATTATTCGAGGTCGTATATGTTGAGCGGATTGTATGGGAAAATGCGGTAGAGAAAAGAAGATGGAATTTTCAGTCGAATAGGATGGAAATCTTTTGGAAAGAGAAACAGATCAAGGAGGACTTGAATGATTTCAAAAACTTCTCCAACCTATTCAAAGGAAAAGGAAGAAAATAGATGGAACAGAGATGAGGTAGAGGTAGAGGTAGAGGTAGAAGTGGTGGTGGTGGTGGTGGTAGTGGAAAAGGTATTCGAGGTGGAAGAGATGGAGGGAGAGGAAGGGTAGAATATTATTAGGTGAGGGTACCCGTGGGCCGGCGTATGGATATTCCTTTCGACCTTCGAATCAGAGAAGAAGTTGTGAAATCAATTTTTGTGCGTAAAAGTGGAGGAGGAGAATACCTGCAGGGTAGAGAGAGGGTATCCAAGAGAAGAGAGAGGAAAGAAAAACAAATGGAGAAGAAAAGAAAAAAAAAAAAGAGGTAAACTAAAAGAAGAGAAGAACCGAGTTTCCTTTCCTGTCTTTCTCTCCACTCGCAAAATGGACTAAAAGAATCTGGTCGTGTTCTTGTTCTTGTTCTTGTCCTTGTTTACCTCCTAGGTACATATCTTCAGTTCCAGTCCATTTATGCAGAAAGTGGATTTGGGAGAGAAGTCGAGGTTACCTCTTCCCAACGATATCTGTCGAGGCGCTTGAGAGTGATTGGATCATATGGATGATTTACATGGAGACACAGGACCTCCCTAGGTAATTGTCATTGTAATTGCCCATTTTATGATTTATGAATAAAATCGATTCATTCAATGTTGGTAATTAAAACGGGTTGAGCAAGGTTCATGATTGAGTGGCTCAAGTGGAGGAATCCCTGGTAGGTGAGAATGGGTGGTGAGTGGTGAATTGAGTGAAGGGGACTACTAGGTATTCATTACTAGGTATTCATTTACTCGGGGAGATCTCAAGGTGGAAATCATTGGAGGATTTCGTTGGTTGGCACTTGGTGATGACTGGTGGATGGAATCAATTCTTTCATTTCATATGGATTCATTGGTGGATGGATTGAATGGTTTATGTGTCCTGGTCCTTTTATATCATTCCCTAGATCGGACTAAAGAAGTAACTTTTCCTTGGGTACATATTAATTAATTTTTCACATCATCACACATACTCCGTAGACGACGCAGACACCGTGGATAAATCACCGGAACTTGGAGGCCCTGGTCGCTGGTCAGCGATGGCAGAGTATGAATTGGGAGGAAATTACTTTCCATAACATTTCAACGGTCAACGGTCAACGGTTTTAAATTGGGGTGAGGGAGGATAAGATTTGGTTGTTAGAACTTAGATCCAAGGGGCGTCAAATCAATCACCGTGACAACTTACAAGAAGTGGTAGAGCGAGCTGGTAGTGAGTGGTACGGTGGCGGTAGTCAAGGAATGAGGAATGAGCATGAGTAAAATCAAAAATCATGGCAAACCCCGAGTTGAGTTCAGGAACTGTCTACTAGGTAGGTGATGAATCAGAATCAGCATCAGTATCAGTATCAGTATCAGCATCAGTACCATTATCAGTATCAGTACCATTATCAGTATCAGTATCAGTACCATTATCAGTATCAGTATCAGTACCATTATCAGTATCAGTATCAGTACCATTATCAGTATCAGTATCAGTACCATTATCAGTATCAGTACCCAAGTAACATTCACCTCACCCATTCACCCATTCACCCATTCATACTCTGGGTAGTCGATAGCTACCTCGTCCACAACTACGCGTAGTCTTGTTGGAGGCAAAGTAAGCTCACCATCAGGTGCTGATGAGTACTTCGTACCACGGTAAGATTTGCTTCTTTGTCCCAAGCCGTGCAAAGTCAAGACATCATGTAGAGAATTGATGAAATGGGCTATGGATCAAGTATCATTGGCTCCATCGTTCATATTTGTGGGTCAGATCAATGTTCGATTCTTGATTTTGCTCTGTACCAAGGTTCAAATGCCTTAGTAATAAAAGGTTGTCCTCACTCGTCCACACTCGCTCAATGATTCTCTCTCCATCATCCATCTCTAACCTTCAATTACCTTTCATTTCCATTGGCGCAAATGACCAGAGGCAAAACAAGATGTGCCATTGATCTGATCATCGTGTAATGTGTATGATGGTGTTGTTCCCCCTCCCATTCAAGATTTGATACCAAACCTTTTTTACCTTTTACCTTTTACCTTTTACCTTTTGCCTATTTTTGCCTTTCTTCCATGGCTCATCACTCTATTACAAGCTTGCTCACTCACCTAGGTAGATGCGAATACGTCAATCATGACATATCTTCACATCTTGATTGATTAAAATAGGAAGAGGATGATGTTAGACTACTAGGTATACCAATTGCGTCATTGAAGAACCCACGATGTATCCATCCATCCTCCATCATCCAGCGAGTCATCCAGTCTATCCATCATCCAGCATCCATCATCCATCACTCATCCTCCTCTCATCATCCCAATCACAACCCAAGCAGCTAAATGCATAGAAGGAAGGTCAGAGTTATCCAAGTTCCAAGATTTATTACCATTTACCATTTACCATTTACCCCCTCCCCAAACTTGTGAAACCAGTCCATGTGCTTCCCTCACGCAGCCAATCCCATCGGGAAACTATATCCCAATCACAAATTTTAACCTTAACCTTCCCAATCAACTTTATTCATTTATCCCCTGGTGTACTAGCTGGTATACTAGCTAGTATACTAGAAACGGTACGTACGCTACACAATGTACAGATAGAGAGAGGACGCCGGCCACTTTATTTTATGGTGACCAAGAGATGAACTTGACACTCCCAGCGTGGCATCAAAAGGATGGGCCCAGCTGCAAGCCTACTCACCAACATCTCCATATGACTGGTCCCAAATGCGACAATGAACCCCCTCTCAACATTCAAGATGATGCTTATTTTTCATTTTTTCACTTGCAGCTGGGAGCTTGGGCTTGGGCATGGCGAGCATGGGAACCCGTATGCAGTGCCGTAGAGATGGAACAAAAAAGTATGTCGCTCATGATGTAGGTAAGAATACCTACCAACCAACGTCAAGGGACGAGAAGAGAAGGCTGGGGAAAGGGTAAACATGATCCGCTATGATTGTGAAGAAAGTCTCACATCCCAAAAATCATCGCTTATATTGAGTCATTCATTGGATTTCTGGGTTTCTTGGGAGACGGATTTCTCTCCATTGCCCCAGTTACGTATGAATCTGATACATACAAGCAAAAGCCAACCTATTCATTCTTGACCGATACATACGAAGAAAGTATATGTTTCCAATGATGTTTGACAGATCTCTTCAGCGCCATCTCAATTTTCTGAGAATAGTATCATTTTTATGATTGTGGTACAGTGTACAATAGTAATGAATAGACTGGTAAGGAACATGGTTATTTGACTCACCCTATTATATTAATGATTCAATTGATCAATCCAGCTCCATCCATCAATCGCAATCACCCCGTCCGGAGTACCATCTTCATCTCCATCTAATAAGCACCATACAAAATAACAATAACAACGGTAACACCATTCGCGAATCGCGACAACCCTTCCTACCAGTTGTAATTTCCCATCCCATACCAGTCAGTATATTTCTAAACTTAGAATAAATGAATGAAGATCATTTGACACCGGCCGGCTGATGGGAAATTTTTATGCAAATATGCAAATTAGTTATGCAAAGTTTTTGATTTCCAATCCTCGACTTTCTAGACCCCTTGGAGGATTCTAAAGATCCATTAATATTTAATACCGTACCTACCTAGGTATACGGAGTTGCACTTGATCGGGAGAGATTCATCCCTGTCTCTGTCTCTGTCTCTGTCTCTGTCTATCTGTCTGTATACCAATTCAAGATGACATTGACAATTTGACACTCACTAACCTTCTCACTACTTCGGACTCCATACTTTATACTTCATTCATACTTCATTCATATGTACTTCATAGGCTATCATTGCTTGCGCCTTCTTCCCTATCCACCCTGAGGAAAAACGGCGTGTTCATATCCATATCCATATCCATATCCATATCCATGTTTGTCCATATTTATACCGAACCATATCGATTTAGCTCTCTCTGCCTCCTGCAACGGGAAAATTTGCGTGTGTGTGTGTGGAAATGGGGTTATTTTATTTTAGTTTGTTTTATTTTGTTTTATTCGGAAACTAAACTAAATTAAACTAAAGTAAAGTAAACTCAAAAAAAATCAAAAAAAAAAAAAATCCCCACAGCACAAAAACTATTGAATCAAACCAAAGGCAAAGACCAGCTACTGATCCCCACAGAAAACGATTCCAAAGCCATGAACATCAAGAGGTCCAATGCAGTGGCAGTGGCAGTGGCAGTGACAGTGACAATGACAAAGAGGCTTTTGCATCGCAATCGATGTCAATATCATTGTCATTATCATTGTCATCCAATTCAATTCCAGATTTGTCTTCCCCCGATACGAAGGACTCACGTCTCGAGGTACGGTATGTACTCCGTATATACGGAGTATGACAGATGAATCAAACCTATCAACCGGCGCAACTGGCTCGCTCCAGTCAGTACAGTACAGTACAGTATCTTTTGGCGGTATTAGCCTGTCACCACTCACGTACGCTACGCACGCTCAAGCAGCCTCACGTCTCGAGCTTTCCATATGCACCAAATTCACATTTGGGTGCGCGCAGAGCAGGGCTTTGCATGGTGTGGTGTGTATGGTGTTGCATAGCATGAATATGACATTTGGTTAGCTTTTTTTAATAATAAAAAGATGGATTTTTTGATTTTTTGGGATTTGAGGGAAGAAACAAAAATCCTTCAACTAGATACCAGAGTTACTATTGTAGGTGAAATGATGAAAATATTTAATATATCTAGTTAGATAGATAGATATAGATATGATTTAATCTAAATGTAGTATATATGATTTAACCCAATTATGATATGATATAGTATCCCCTAAGATGTTAATCATGGCCGGGAAATGTAGTCTGTACATAAGTAAGAATATCAATAACTTTATAAATTATATCAAATATAAAAACTATTCAATTAGAATTTAAGAATAAAATTCATTAATATAATAACAATTAGAAGTTGAATTATAAATTCATCTATTTTATTTTAAAAATAAATTTGGTGGAGTTTTTAAATCCTATTATATTTCATTATCAAAATAAATACAATTTACAATTTCAAGAACTCTCAGATTACAATACTTTGACTTGACTAATAAAGCATTATAAACAAACCCAGTCATGATTAGTATCTTCGGGAATAGTATAGTCATGCTTTTGTATACAATTTATTAATTTATTAATTCATTTTTATTTTTCCTTTCCTCTTTCAAATACTACACTACAGTCTGTAATAGAATAAACACAACATCGGAGAAAATATCCCTCTGTACCCAGATTATATACCTATACACAGTACGTACCTATTTCTTTTCCCATTCTCCCACTCACTCCCTCCACCCCATCACAAACAAGAATCGAAATCCCAATCGAAATCGGTATTCACACATTACATAATCACTAGCGGATAACGTCGATAAGTGATAAAAATCTTTCGACAGAACAGAGTACAAAGTATACTAGTGGTAATGTAATGTAATATAATATAAAGTTAAAGTAAATTTTCAATGTTCCTATGACTGACTGACTAATAGACCCTGGACCTTCTCGCGGATTATTTTAAAACGTGTTTGAAATTTGAGGCGCTACGGTGTATGAAGAGAAGAGGGTACTGGACTGGACCCTCGAAATTTTTACAAGTCGAGGTGGGTTTGGGGTGAGAGGGAGGGAGGGAGGGGTATCCATCTACGGGCTGGATGGTTGGTAGGTTGATTGTATGGAGTAGGTTTTTGATGATTCTGGAGGCTGGATGATGGATACTGGATGCACTGTATGTATGTATGTATGTACATCTTGTAAGTTGTCCTGCCACTGCCACTTTAAATCTGCATCTAGATCTGGATCTGGATCTGAATCTGTCGGATTGGTATTTATACTCCGTACAAAGTATCTTTCTGGGTCTATCTGGGTCTATCTGCTGGCTGTACAGTACAGTACAGTACAGTATACATATTTACGGAGATATTCTCCTCCGTGAGATTATTGATGTGTGAGTGAAGTGAGTACAGTATGTATGTATAATGTATGTATGTAAGTATGTGTATGTACGATATACGATATATCGAATACGAAATTGTCATCTATCTATCGACTATACAGAGTACACGTTTTTTACGCATAGAGATGGATATCTCTGGGTTGGGTTACCAGTCTCGGTTTCTGGACGGAGTACCAGTACCAGGGAACGTGGACTGTGTGATACCATTGTACTCTTCCATCCCATCCCATACATACGAATGATATATACCCTACCCTATCATATATACATACCCTACCCCAAAATAAATCCCGTTATAACTTATTAAGAAAAATACTCCGATCCATCCATCATCCATTCATCCATCACTCAAGTTTCATGATTCAGCCAACCGCCCGCGGGAAGTATGTGAAATTGTGACTAGGTAGGTGAGTGGAGATGAAATTTTACCTACCCTACATACCTCCGAGGTTATATGCACGGAAATATATGTGATCCTGGAATCGAATCGTAGTCGGTTCTATCTACCTATACCTAGGTACCTATCTATCGTTCCCTTCCTCACATGTTTGAAGCAGGAAGGCACGTGGAAGGGGTGGGAAGGGAAGAGAAGTCACAATGTTACATGCGATGCGGAAGGTGACGGGATTGATTTATTAGAGATTGTCTGACGTTTGGGTTTGATGATGAGGTTGATAGGTTGGGAGGTGGTAAGTAGGTGAGTAGTATGTTAGATTGATTTGATTTGATTAGGGATAGATCTAGAGAAGGGTGGAAATCTAGACTTATTTTATATTATAGTAGATAGATATCTAGGCCTAGTATTTCTCTCGCGAACTCTCTACTCTATATAATTATATTATATATCTAGGATATTATTATATAGTATAATAATAAATATCTAATTATTAAAAGACTCTCGACTCTTAAATCCGTATTCGAATTCG